CAGAGTCTAAATAGAAATTATTCTTGGAAAAATGCAACAACAAAATTATGCTTGACATGGGGATGTGCAACATTTAGTCTCTTATGGTCGTGTTGAAGGACTTTAAAACAACGATCTTAGTTTATAATGACTCTACCATCTGTCTGTTGAACTGCGAATTAGTAAAACTCATTATCTTCTGCAGTTCTGAGTGGTGACCTCAGGGTACATCGGCTGCAGTAGGAGTCACGCAAAACCCAGTGGAATCAAACTCTTCTCATTCATACACCACTTCGACTCAAACAATAGATACACACATATACACAAACAGACTTAAGAGAACTTCATAACATCTCAATAAAGATAACTAGCAGAGGACCCGGGGCTGAACACTAACCTTTAAAAGAGGTCATCAGGAAAAGATGGTTGCCATTATAAGTTACTTTATATTTTGAGCTAATAAGAAACCATGCAGATAAGTGTGCCAATTACCCAGTGAGGAATGTAAAATTGTAGAACGTAAAAAGAGGATAATCTTCTATTTTTGACTTTCCAAGCTGTGCGTTTATTTGTCAGCTTAAAACTCAAAGAGAACCGTTCGAAACAGTTAACATTATATGTTTCCATGGTAACACAGTGACACTTTCCCAACTGTCACAAACTGTATACAGAGTTCCAGTAGTGCAGCTGGTCACGGGTCCATCAAAAATGAATCCAGCAAATCACTGGTTGCTTGATCATCCGGTCTCTCCCTTTCCAAATGTGTTTTTCTAGACCTTTGAGCATATTCCCAATAGAAACCATTAGCATTCAGCTTTGAAGTCTTGAATGGTGGGTCCCTCAAGTGACACCAACTCCAGCTTGTCCATCATCTCTACTTTCAGTGTAGAAATCTGGGCTTGAACCCCCTCTCACGTTCAGATGAAGAGACTGGTAGAGCCAACCACACATTCAAAATAATGATGTTTTATCTATGAGTTTCAGTGGGCCCCCTCTCACCATCAAGCCCTCTCTTTACATCTTCAATTACCAACAATACACGTACTGGGTAATATGCATTGTTCAGAGAATAATGACGACACTAGATCCAATGTATATATTATTTTCCCTCAGTCGTATTTTCCCTTAGATTATAAGAGCTTTAGTATTTATTGTTAAGCCACTAAAATCAGCCACTGTACAGTATCTCACCAAATACCACTATATGCATGTACAATGATTATAAAAGATTAACAGATTATCATGTTATCAAAATGAACATGTCATATCTAGGTCAGCATATAGTTCTTATCTTAAGTAAAAACAATACGTAAGTCTCTGCTATGGAATAGATTTAAATGAATCAGCGCTTAAGGGCTGTGCCAAAGAGTACACACATTAATCATGTTAAATAACCTTCGATATATATTATTGTAAACAAATGAACCATGGTAGAGGCAATGTTTATTTACTTAAACTGCGTGAAAATAAAACATAAACACAATTGTCTGGTATTCAATATATCATTTGGAACATTTTCAGGACATTATTGTTTTATATGGCATGATGTATATGTCATTAAGCTTCTTTTTTTAGATCGCATTAGAGCTGAAACTCTATATAAATTAATCGATTAATTGATAGTCAGAAAATTGCCAGCTATTCTTCATATAATAGGTTGTTCTCTCAGTCTTCTAGAATAATACATTATTTACATTTTAGGTTGTGGGCTAAGAAACTTTGGATAAGTTTAAAACCTCAGTATGGACTCTGGGAACTTTTTTTTTATAGAATCAACAATATAGTGATTAATGAAAAATAAAAGGTAGATTATTCAATAACACTTGTAATCATTCCGGCACTACTTCACATAGTGTTTGCTAGGTACAAAATGTATTATATTAAAAAAAAATTAGTACATTTAGATAGCCTCTGATATGTAGTATGGCAGTACGGCATAATTTAAGCAGACACATTTGTACACAATTGTACTTGATTAGACTATATTACTGAATAAATGTATTCTCCAAGACTGTTTATGTATCATACATTTTTCTCATGCCACTCAAATTCCTCTCATACAATCCAAGCAGGCACCCATACACACCCACACGTGAACTTGAGCTCGCTCACACCGCAAACACAAGCCATTTTTATGGCCTACACAAAAACAACGTCTCTATCTTCTTTTCTGTCTGTCACTCACCGGCCTTCCCCTCCTCCTTCTCGGACCTCATGTCCTCTCCGGCACAGGCTCCGCTCGACTCCACTGTCAACTGTGGTGTGAGCTCTCATAGCAGGTAAAAAAAAAAGGAAACACACACACGTACTGTATACGTACAGACCGGTGAACAAACTCAGAATGCACCGCCACAGCCGGCCGCTCCCAGCCTGTGAGGCTCCACCCAGACAGGTTACTAGGAAGTCGTCTCCTGGGAGCCACTCGGCTACATTTCCTGCTCCTTTAGTTTCTTTCGTTCCTCTCTATGTGCCTCTCTTTAGCTCCCACTTTCTATATACCTGTTTAGTGACACGCCCTGTGGCAGCCAGGACAACTTTCCCCCCACGCCCACTCCTGCTTTTCATCTTTTCCCCCCTTGTGTACAAACGTAAGTAGTAGGAGGGGGAGGGGAATACAAACTGCACCTCAGGCTTCAGGTAATGAACCAGGTGAGTCCATGGAGCTCTCACTCCACCTGATGGCCAACAGCTAGCAGAGGAAAGTGTGTGGAGTTACACTCTGCGACTCAACAGAGAGCAAAACAGCCCTCAGTGCGAGAGCTCTTTGCTCCCTCTGAGCCCACACTGCCTTTGTAGCCTACATGAGTTTACAATACTCACTTCCTGAATGTGAAAGTGTGTTTTGGCCAGAGGAGGTAGGAATGTAAACCCTATATAAAAACGCTCAAAGTGTCAACTTAAATATAAACGCCTCAAAAAATGGACCATGACAGCAGTGATGTGATATGAAGTTCATGCTTCTCACCAAACTGCTCTACACTCTCAGATTGGATTATTAATAAGAGCTGCCCTGTGTTATCTTTAACCCTGCAGGGATTTCTCCATGGACAGCTCTTCTGCCTGTCTGAGGAAGGACAGTCCGTGTCATGTGAGATGGGAACTCAGATGTGTGCAAAGTAAATAAGGTTAAGGCTGGTCCTGTTTGCCTGCCAGGGCTCTTTAGGCCTGAACCCTGAGGCAGGTGGTACGAGGAAAACAGATGGGCTGCAACTGAATTCATTCAGCCTGCAGAGCCGGGTTGGATATAATCTTATAATGGAATTTTTGGTTTATGAGCTCTTGAGCACCATACTGTAACTAGCATACTAAAGCACGAGTGCATGCATAAAGTGTGTGAGTTTTTGTGCAAGAGTTAAACCTCTGGCACTTGAAGACGTGACAGCAGTTCAGAGCAAGCATGCCATTTGTCCTGCCTGTCAGAGGCTGGCGCTCAGTGTTCAGCTCCATCCACAGATCACATGTGCTCTAACTAGATACTTGTCACATGAGGCAATGGATCTGTCCATCACAGGCTGACACCTGAAGGATTACTGCCAGGCTCGTTTCCCTCTGACGGATCAGAGCTGAGACAAAAGATTGAAATCTATCTCTCCTATCGTGCATACAATCAACTCCCAATTGAAGTGAATCTACATATTGAAGCTATATGTTTTTCTGTCTGGTCATCATTGTAGTATTACAGTTATAATATGAAATGGAGCCAAATTATTAGAACTTTTAGAAATGCTAATTACTCCCACTTATACTTGAGCATGTCTGATTAAAGCTGATTTGAACTTGTCTTAAGAGCTACAGCGTCTAAAATCAGATAAAAATTGGTATCAAATGTAGCACTTCATAATTCCAAGGTCACGTTGTAGCCCGCCTCTCAGCCACACTGAATTTTATTCACAGCGTTGCTTTTATCCTGACAGTTCTTTAGTCTGAAATGTTCCACCCCTCAGTGTCCTTATTCTCAGGCTTAACTCCCTGTATCACCATGTCATTAATTTGCTCACATTTAAGCCAGAAGAAATCCTTCTTTTTCTACCCTACACTGTATTGCTCCCGCTTCTCTCAGCTGCACGCGGTTGACCTGTCAGTCTGCATTATCAGTGCTGGGGAGCGTTGATAGAGAGCCGGGGCTGAGCGGTATTAAGATATTAGCTAGCCTTGAGAGAGAAGAAGGTGAAGTAAAAAAAAAAAGGTGGAGGGGGACTAAAAGCAGTTATGGGCACTGTGGGAAGAAGAGAATGAGCGACTGAGGTCAACGCTGTCAGCGCCGCCTATTGTTGGTGGAAATGACATGAGGCTTGTCTAATAGCCGCTGAGCAAGCGCTGTCGACTTCAGAGGGATAGATGGGATGAAGAGACTGGAGTTACAATTATTACAAGAATTACACTGCAGACACTCGGGTTTGGCATTGGTGTGAGGACAATGGAGAATAACAGTGGTGATTACGATGAGAGAAAGGAGTGAACAACAAAACAGTTGCGATCGATATACTTTATGATCAATACCTTTTTGCGGTGTGTAATATTACAGGCAGGCCAGTTTGATTACTCCACACGAGAGAGACCGAGAGAGACTATTACCCCGAGCCACACAGGCCTCTTTATAAAGAAATGTGTTGTCCAACTGATGGCGGTAATTGGAGAATATAACTGGCCTTGCTACAATGCTGTAATTTGAGTTAAAAACCGAGCTCTGGTGCAATAAGCTTCAATAAAGCTCTGTTCCGATTAAAGCAATCTGCAAAGTAAAGTGCTTTTCTGCGGCAAGTAGTCAATCCAGTCTTGTGCATCTGTGCTATGCATTGGGTGACACAACATGTTATTTAGCTGTGCGCTGTGAGTCACCAGGTACAGGGAGCTGTTATCTGATTGTTCTCACACGTTAAGCCTGCGCAGGCCTTTGCTCCAGTGTTAACCTCCCCAGTCAAGCTGACAGCTCTGTGTCTTTTAACTGCCACGATGAATCGCTGTGCACACTTCCTGCTGTCACCAAGGCAACACCTTGTATATTTGGAGCCTCACCGTACCTTTGCCTAGCGAGCAGTCCGGGGTGCCAAAGTCCATCAGGCTGGATATCTCTCTCGGGTAGCACATGTCCCTCACCACCGTCTTCTGTCTGTGGTGCATCGATGGATCTGCAGGGGGTAGAAATGAACATTTACACTCAGAACATCCGACCAATCAAATGTTTATTCTATCGTCAAAACGTCTTATTCATATTCTCACAGCCAGGTTGTTGTAATATGTTGGACTCATACTAATAGTGTGTGGGCAGGGCACAGCCGTGTAGCAGGCTTGTTGTATTAGATGATTCATTCTGACATGATGTCAATTCGACACGCACTCTTGAGCTTTCAAAGACGTTGCAAATATGAATCTGTCCTACAAATCACTGCATGTGTGGTCGGCATTTCAAAGCCATAATGAGGCAAACATTGTATTAGTAATGATCCAGGCTTGTTTCATTATTCAAAAATGCTTGTCCAACTCTTTTTCGTCCTTTTCATGATCAATGATTTTTTATATTTCATACATTTTCCCTTCTCTTTGTCTCTATTTTTCATCTATTTATGTGACTCTAATATACTCCACTGACCCTGTTTCTATACATGCAGCTAAAGACACTGACCAAGGACTTCTAAGAGCTCCAGTAACTGAGGTTCAACATTTCCTTTCCTCTCACTCAGTAATTTATTTGCAGAGTTCAAGAAGAACTGATCTGGTTAGAAATCATCAAGGTCCATTGTCCATTGCTTTTCCTCCACCTCATTTTCTAAAAGTTTCACCTCCATTTGTAACAAATGAAACGCTACAAAAAAACAACAAGGATTATTGGAGGCAACAATATCCTTGCTGTTCGGAAAATGATTTTGTAGAACAGATACCGTAGCATTACAACGAAAATGATTTCCTCCTGAAAAGGGCTACAGACGCCGCTATTGATCTGACCGATCTTCTAACCAAAGTAATTTCACAGCTGTTGTGAATCCCTCTAATGCTACACATGTTGGATTTCATGCCAGATGAAGGTGTGACAGCACCTACTGGTTAGAGCAAATCGGGCCAGGGGGTTACGTTTTGGGGCAAATGGCCCCTTCCTTCCCTACTTCTGGCATCCTTGCTCCAAACTCTCAACTGTACACCTCATCGTCACACGCTGCTGCTGCTGCTAATGAAACAAGTTGATTAGTTTAACCATGAACCTGTCCATGAGTGCAGCAATTTGCGTCTGGCTTCAGGTACCTTATGAGTAGTGCCATCTGCTCAACCACTTGATCTCATCTTCTCTCCTAATCTGCATATTTTGACAGTTTCATTTTCCTGACCGTATCATCAGTGACCTGCCACTCCCTACTCCCTCCTCCGTCCTCCTGACCTGTCAATAACTGTTAAGGTGTGAGGTGTTGACCTTTCCCTTCAGTGTTTAATATGGAGATTGGACAACGGGCAAGCTCATGCTCGGCCGCTCAAAGGCTGCTTTACTTAGCACCAACAATAATGAGAGAGAGAGAAAGAGAGGGAATGAAGCTGCTGGCAGGCAGACAAATAAACAGGCAATCTATGCTTGCTCTTATTTAAATGTGTTGATGCTTTGTGCATTTAAAAATAAAAACCTCAATACGTAAATGTATGGTAACCCAGCCTGGTTTGGGAAGGCAAATCTCATCACTTTTAAAAGAGCATCCTGTCAAATGAGAAAAATAAGCAAAGGATTTATTTGGATATTTGTCCATCATTTGATGAAAACACATCACCCCTGGTGACTTCTACAGAATGTAGTCATGTGAACTTTTCATTGGTTTCAATAACCTCCCATTCCCAAGGGGTCCATTGCATTTCAAGGGGAAAACACCCTGTCATTGTGTCAGTGTCCTTGCTGGAAAGCAAGTGAATGGCCAAAGAGAGGTATATCCTGAGGAGTGCGCAGTATATCTTCCAGCTCTTTTCTGCCTGGATAAACCTCTGCAGTCAGAGGTTAAACGTTATAGAAAGGCTGTGCAGGTCTATCTTTTATCTAACTGACCAACCAAAGCAGAAGAGGAGCACACACAACAGGACAATGATGCCAGTGCCAAAACAATGTCTGGCAGACGTTACCGCAGCATCCGGGCAAGGACAAGAAGATTCGGAGACAGTTTCTTCCCGCGGGCAGTGAGACTGTTAAAAAATGGAACTGTTGAAACAACTTCAAACATTCAACTGCTACTCAGTAGTATGTATCTAATACCTAATATATATATATCATTCCAATAACTTGTATATAGACTCATACTGCACTATTCCACATCATAACTTTATTTCATTTTTATAACTATTATTATTTTTGTATTGCTCTTGCTCTTATTGTTATTATGTTATGTTATTATGTTGCATTGTTGGAGAAGCCTGTGACATAAGATTTTCAACTGCATAATTACTCTGTAGCTATGTCAGATTGACAATAAAGAACCTTGAACCTTGAACCTTGGATTTTAGGCGTCTTTTAGAGATATTTATTATCTCAAAAGGCCTGTTCTCGGGTATTTTAATCAAATGCGAAGAGCTATAAAGGTGACCAAATAAAGCTTTTTTGCACTCAAAAGTAAGGTCAAAATGTTAATTTATTCATTTACATTATTGAAGGAAAAAAAAGGATTTGTGCTGACTGGTCCTGAAATACAGTGATATGTCCCATTCTGTTATATGGAAACATCTTTCAAAAATAAGGTGTTCACTTCGATCGATTAGTCCACCTTAAATGAAGACCTATTTTAAAGCATATATATTGACAGGTAGTAGCAGCTAGGGTGTATTAAAGTAATGATAGCCTAATTCACTGAAGTAGGGCCATATAGAAAATAAAACTAGGACACTTACAGTAAAGGTTAAATTGGTAACTTTTACAAAAAAAAAATGTTTTTATCATATTTGCTGAAAATGCCACTGAATCCCAAAAGAAGCAAGACAGATAATTATGAACATTTCATTCCTCTGCCTCTTCCTCCTCATTAAAACGCTGGCAAGGAAAACAACCAATCAGAACCGACGAGTCTCCGACAGTGTCAATAACAAACAAAAATATGTATCCAAAAACATTTTCTGCAAGGAAGTGGGCAACACAGTAACAGAATAGTGATTCATTACAATTAGGTGCAAACAGCCTTTTATTAGCAATTTGCAAATAAATTCTCCATCTCGAGATGTTTTCCCAATTACACACTGAATAAAGTATGCACAGATAGTGTCAAACATTATTATGTAAATGTCTCCCTTTTGATTACTGTATGTTTTTTCCTCAAAGGAGCAAAACAAGATATTTCATTTATAAATCGGATCTATTTGTCTGTGGCAAAAATATGCATTTCCATTTAATTTGGGCTGAAAAGTGTGCTTGCCAGCTATTTAATAAATAACAGAGACTTCCTTATAGACGACGAGGGAAAAACACAGCCCTGACAGCATCACCGGGGAAAATACTCACTAGATACTAATGAGAATATCCCGCGGGTGTGTGACTGCAGAAACACCCCTGGGTGTGGAAGAAAGTCAGAGAGGCTATCCAAACATCTGACACAACTTCCCTTCCTCGCCAACACTCAGCAGAGAGACGCAGACGACACCATGGAAAGAGGAGACAAACGCTCAGTGGGAGTTATAGCGGGTATTCAAGCAGAAATGCGAGGAAACTATCATTGGTTGTGCAGACAGCTCATCATTGCCCACCCTCAGCCAACCTTTAATTACACTGGCATTCAGTCTGTCATGCAGGCAGCAGACACACTCCTTCCTGTATCAGTCATCGCACCGGAAAAAGACGAGAACATCACCGTGATACTGTGGAGGCACAACACTGAGACGCAGTCCTGCTGAGTGCAATAACAAGGCTGCGTGTGTTGATTCTCTCTGAGACAAACATGTTTAGCTACCACTTACAATCATTTACAATGACTAAAAACATGCTGTAATCAGACTGTGTGTGTGTGTGTGTGTGTGTGTGTGTGTGTGTGTGTGTGTGTGTGTGTGTGTGTGTGTGTGTGTGTGTGTGCGTGTGTCAAAGAGCTAGCTTTGCGAGTTGATTGGCTTTTAGCAGACTTGAAGAACAAAAGGTTATGTAATGTTCTGTGTTCCCACTAAAAGGTTTTTGAGGAAAGGAGAGCTATCGTTTAGTGTTGATTGGGGGTTTGGTGCACATTAAAATAGAGCAATTCAAAGCTTCTACAATGGATTCTTAGGGAAATATTTAGCTTGTTGTATGTACTTAGAAAAGAGATATTAAAAACAGAAGTATCAGAACAAAAGTGGTGGTGAAAAGCTTGAGTAACACTGGTACAAAAAATATAAGAGTTGAGATGTTTTACAGGACAAATTATATAATTTCTTAATCAGAAAGTGTAAAGCCCTTAAGAATTTTACCCTTTTCTTTACTACACAGTAATTATTCCCCATTGTCATGACAATAGCCACAGTGTTTGAATGTCTATTATTTCTTGCTTTGAAATTGGCACAGCTTAATGTGTGAAGAATTTGAAACGCTATCTAAATTAAATTTCACAGCAGTGGCAACACTGAATACATTAACAATGCTAAATGATGTGATGCCTTTAATGATGCTTCTAAACTTTGGCGCACGACAAAGCCAAAAGAAACCCTGCGTGGTTACATAAGACAACAGGATGGAGTTTGGTTGCGATATTAAGTGTTTGAACAATGGCAAGGGAAACTCCTCATCCCTGACCCTGATGTTCACAGGTCTCTTCTGGTATTATCAGGCACACACACATGGAGCTCAGCCAAATCCCTGACATGCTGACAAGGCGCCCACAGCACAACGCATCTCCACTGGTTGGTATCACTAAAACAGATGGCAACGATAATTTTCTCCTTCAGCTAGATATCAAATCACAAAACTCAACAATTGTGTTAAACCAGAAAAACGACAAATTGAAGCTTCCATAAACACAGGCTGTGAATGTGTCAGACCACAGCATTGGAAAACTTTGTGTGAAAGTTGACTTAGTATTTAACACGCTGTTTAGACTGTAAGAAAAGCAACATGTCTCCCGTGGGAAATATTGCATATGCTATGTAGTATGGGAGGTCGAGCTGTCACATCTCTATTATACCACCCAAACATGCAGCCATAACACTGCAGCAA